CCAAGCTCATCCAATGGGGAAAGAACAGTTTCTTCAATAAATCGTACTGGGGCAACAGGATCTCCAGGTGCAAAAGAATGAAGTTGGACTCATACCTCAAAACGTATACAAAAATTAACTGAAAATGAATCAATGACCTAAATAAACCCTAAAACCATAAGACTCTTAGAACAAAACATAGGGGTAATGTTTCAAGATCTAATTTTACAAATGGTATGACACTAAGACCTCGAGCAACAAAAGACAAAATAGATAAATAGAACTTAATCAACATTAAAAACTTTTGTACCTCAAACGATATTACTAAAAAAGAGAAAAGAAAACCCAACAGAACAGGAGAAAATATTTGGGAAACATGTATCTGATAAGAACTTCATAGCCAGAATATATAAAAAACTTCTTCAACTCAACAGCAAAAAGACAAATGACCCAATTAAAAAATGGGCAAAGGACCTGAACAGACATTTCACCAAAGATATACAAATGGCCAAGAAGCACATGAAAAGATGCTCAACACTATTAGCGACTGTTGTTGATGTTGTTGTTGTTAGATGCCATCGAGTCACTTCCAACTTCAGAGTGACCCTTTCTACAACAGAACGAAACACTGCCCAGTCCTGCGCCATCCTCACAACCATTGCTGTCTAAGCCCATTGTTGCAGCCACTGTCAATCCACTTCATTTAGGGTCTTCCTCTTTTTCGCTGACTTATCAAGCATGTCCTTCTCCAGGGAATGGACCCTCCTGATAACATGTCCAAAGTAACTAAGATGAAGTCTTGCCATCCTCGCTTCCAAGGAGCACTCTGGCTGTACTTCTTCCAAGACAGACTTGTTCATTCTTCTAGGATTCTGTGGTATATTCAATATTCTTTGCCAACACCGTAATTCAAAGGCATCAATTTTTCTTTGGTCTTCCTTATTCACTGCCCAGCTTCCACATGCATATGAAGTGACTGAAAATATCATGGCTTGGGTCAGGCATACATTAGTCCTCAAAGTGACATCTTTGCTTTTCAACACTTCAAAGAGGTCTTTTGCAGCTGATCTGCCCAATGTAATACGTCATTAGATTTCTTGACTGCTGCTTCCCTAGGGGTTGATTGTGGCTCCAGTGAAATCCTTGACAACTTTAATATTTTCTGCATTTATTAGGATTAGCGATTAGGGAGATGCAAATCAAAACCATGATGAGGTATCACTTCACACCCATTAAACAAACAAACAAAAAAAAACCCAAAAAGTCGATTATGACTCATGGAAGCCACGTGTGTGTCAGATTAGAACTGTACAACACAGTCACACCCACTAGGATGGCAATTATCAGAAAAAAGGGAAATAACAAGTGTTGGCAAGGATGTGGAGACATTGGAACTCATCCATTTTTGGTGGGATTATAAAATGGTGCAGCCACTATAGAAAAGAGTTTCGGAGGTCCTCAGAAATGTAAACGTATTACCAAATGACCCAGCAATTCCACTCCTAGATAAATACTGAAAAGACTTGAAAGCTGGGGCTCAAAGAGATACTTGCCACCAATGTTCATTGCAGAACTATTTACAATAGCCAAAATGTGGGAACAACCCAAATGTCTATCAACAGATGACTGGACAAACAAAATGTGATATATATAATGGAATATTATGCGGCCATAAAGAAATAAAATTCTGATACATGCTACGATACGGATGAACCTTGAAAGCAGTATGCTAAGTGAAATATGACTCAAAAGGACAAATACTGTATGATCTCACATGAAATATGTATGTACCAGGGGACGGTGATAGAGGGAAATGGGGGAGCTACTGCTTAAGGGGTACTGGGTGTTGGAATAGGGTAATAAAAAAAACTTTGGAGATGAATAGTGGTGACACTTCCATAGGATGGTGAATGTGATTAATGTCACTGAACTGTACACTTAAAGACTGGTTCAAAGGGCAGGTTTTTTGATACATATTTTACCACACTTGGTCATTAGCGTTTAATGTGTCACATCTATTCTTGAGATGGTCTGTAAATTCAAGTGGGATATACTCAAGGTTGTACATTGGCTCTCATAGGCTTTTTAAATTTTCTTCAGCTTCAACTTGAACTTACATATGAGCAACTGATGGTCTGTTACACAACTGGCCCCCGGCCTTGTTCTGACTGATGATACTCAGCTTCTCCATTGTCTCAACACATACAGTCCATCTGATTCCTGTATGTTCCATCCAGTGAGGTCCTCAAGTAGAGCCGCTGTTTATGTTGTTGAAAAAAGGTATTTGCAATGAATAAGTCACTGGTATTGTAAAATTCTACCATGTAATCTCCTGCATTGTTTCTATCACCACGGCTGTATTTTCCAACTACTGAACCTTCTTGTTTCCAACTTTTGCATTCCAATCACTACTTATTACCAACGCATACTGACTGCATGTTTGATCAATTTTAGACTGCAGAAGTTGGTAAAAATCTTCAATTTCTTCATCTTTGGCATTAGTGGTTAGTGTGTAAACTTGAATAACCTGGTCTTCCTCATAGGCATATGGATATTATACTATCAGTGACAACGTGACAGGGAGATTTTGAGATGTTTTTTTGACAATGAATGCAGTGCCATTCCTCTTCCATTTGTCATTCCTGGCTTAGTAGACCGTATGATTGTCCAATTTGAAATGGCCAATACCAGACCATTTCTGCTCAATAATGCCTACGATATTGATCTTCATGTGTTCAATTTCATTTTTGACTTCCAATTTTCCTAGATTCATACTTTGTACAGCTGTTTGCGGCTGTTTCTTCTCATTTTGAGTAATGCCACATCATATGAAGGTCCTGAAAGCTTTACTCCATCCACGTCATTAAGGTTGACTATACCTTGAGGTGGCAGCTCTTCCCCAGTCGTATTTTGAGTAGCTTACAACCTGAGGCGCTCATCTTGCAGTACTATATCAGACAATGTTCCGCTACTATTCATGAGGTTTTCACTGGCCAAATTTTTCAGACATAGACTGCCAGGTCCTTCTTCCTAGTCTTAGTCTGGAACCTCCACTGAAACCTTATCACCATGGGTAACCCTGCTGGTATTTCAAATACTGGTGACACACTGAACACAAATGACTGTAGATCAAATGAGCTGTGGAACGACGTCATACATGAACAAAGCAAAAAGTCATTATAAAGACAGGAAAGAGAGAAAAGACCAAAATGGATGTCAGAAGAGATTCTGAAACTTACTCTTGAACACTGAGTAGCTAAAGTGAAAGGAAGAAATGAAATAAAAGAGCTGAACAGAAGATTTCAAAGAGCAGCTCGAGAAGACAAAGTGTCATCATAAAATGTGCAAAGACCTGGAGTTAGAAAACCAAAAAGGAAGAACATGTTTGACAATCCTCAAGCTGAAAGTACTAAAGAAAAATTCAAGCCTTGATTTGCAATATTGAAGGATTCTATGGGGAAAACATTGAATGACGCAGGAAGCATCAAAAGAAGATGGAAGGAATACACAGAGTCACTGTACCAAAAAGATGTGGTCGATAGTCAACCATTTCAGGAGGTAGCATACGATCAAGAAACAACAGTTCTGAAGGAAGAAGTCCAAGCTGCACTGAAGCCACTGGCAAAATCAAGGCTCTAGGAATTGACGGAATACCAACTGAGACGTCTCAAAAAATGGATGCAACACTAGAAGCACTCATTCGTCTATGCCAAGAAATTTGGAAGACAGCTACCTGGCCAACTGTCTAGACGATATCCCTATTTGTGTTCATTCCAAAAAAATGTGAACAGAATGTGGAAATTATCAAACAATATCATTAATACCACATACAAGTAAAATTTTGCTGAAGACCATTTAAAAATGGTCACAAGGAAATGTCAAAAATTCAAGCTGGATTCAGAAAAGGATGTGGAACGAGGGATATAATTTCTGATGTCAGCTGGATCTTGGCTAAAAGCAGAGAATATCAGAGAGATGTTTACCTGTGTTTTATTGACTATGCAAAGGCATTTAACTGTGTGGATCATAACAAATTATGGATAACATTACAAAGAATGGAAATTCCAGAACACTTAACTGTGTTCATGAGGAACTTATACTTAGACCAAGAGGCAGTCGTTCGAACAGAACAAGGGATACTGTGTGGTTTAAAGTGAGGAAAGGTGTGCGTCGGAGTTGTATCCTTTTGCCATAGTTATTCAATCTGTATGCTGAGCAAATAATATGAGGAGCTGGGAAGAGGATGTCCTGATGGAAGAACTGTATCCTGAGTGTTCTTGAGTCTGAATTATAACTGTTATTTCACTCATAAAGCTCATAATTGTGAGTATTGTCTGTGAGTTCTGTGTGGCCATCGCAATGAACTGTTGAACCCAGCAGAGAAGTACAGAGTGCTGTGGGAAGCATCGTTGGTGTCAGAATTGGTAAAGATGGCGGAGAGAGGAGGCATGTCTGACCTCTGCCTCACAGGAATCAGCTTTGGGCTGTTGATCTTGATTCTCTTTCCCCCTTGTGAAGTTAGAAGAGGTCAGACAGTGCCCCCATGCCATTTTTATAGAAAGCTTCTCATTTTTCTTCAAAGTTCAACTCTAATAAGTCTCCTTGATTAAACAGAGGAGAAAATAAAATCATTACTGAAAGGAGGAACTAGAATGTTATCCAAACATCTGGCAGAGTTACCCAAAGCATTTCACAATAGATTATTGTTTTCTACTTGACTATTATTTAAGATGGAGTCCCTGGATGGCACAAATGGCCAAGCACTAAACTACTAGCCAAAATGTTGGCAAATCAAACCCACCAAGAGGAGCCTCAGAAGACAGGCCTGGTGATGTGCTTCCAAAAGGTCACAGCCCTGAAAATCCTTTAGAGCAGTTCTACTGTGCACACATGGGGTTGTCATGAGCCAGAATTGGCTCGATGGCAACTCATAACAACAATTATTTAAGATACTTTTGAAAGAAAACGAAGTACTAAGAAGCTAACTTTTTTTTTTCTAAAGAATGCACCTCTTTACTTACCATCTTCTGCTAAGATCTTGGCTGCATCTTTATCCTCTTCCCACTTCCCAGTCACGAAGCAATCTCTGATGCTGTTCATAACCTTACATAGAAAATTCAGCCCTTAGATGACATGCTCCAATCATTCAATAAAAAAACTGCTATTAAGAAAACAGCAATAGGCTATAACTTGCCTTTAAATACTTCTCAAGCCACAACAGTCTCATTTCAAAGCGGGCCTATGATAATAATTTGACCTTTGATGCACATAGTATGAATAATGGAAAAAAACTCATAACGTTAAAGAGTGAATACGGAAAGTATTATTAGCCAATGACCTCATAAGTAAACAAATATTTACTGATTCAACTGATTTTCAAAGTTCATTAATGTTTCAAAGGCAATGTAGTTAGATAGCAATTTTACTATTATTTTTTTTTAGATAGCAATTTTAAAAAGGTGCTCTTGCTATTTGTTAATCCAAACTTATCACAGCTGTTTGAAAATATAATTCCTTGGACCGTTAAATAATTCTGCCAAAGACAGAATGTCTTGTATGAGCACAGTACGGTGCGAAGAATACTGGATCAGGTTTCTAGTTCCAGACCTGCCAGACCATCTGATACACACATGTAATTGATGCTGGGTACACCACCCAAATAGAGAATAAAACCTTGTATACAACTCTGTATCTCAGAGTGTTTTCTGGGGAACCTGACCTAAGATAAAACATGTCATTTATTCCAAAGGCCTTAAAAATTACACATTTTATACAAATCTTCACACAGGTCCTCTTCACATTTTGTTCATGACTCATGTTTCTCACACAGACCCTCACTCAAACCGTAGCCCTGAAGTGCTTATTAGCCACACTGGACAGCTTAGATAAAGTACATTTCTATCATCACAGAAAATCCCACTGATACTGCTCTGAACCAGTTTACAGGAAATACAGAAGAGAAAGGAAGATAATAAACTGCACATGTGGATACAATTCACAAAATCCAGAATATGAGAAACTCTACATATCAAATATTTGGTCCTTAAATAAATAAAAGATAAGAAAAAAAGAACGGGGGAAGGGGAAGATTATAGATTAAGAGATTTAAACGGCATATCAGAAAAACAAAAATAATAATCAGGTAAAATTAAGCAATGGTGTTTAGGGATGCACACTCGGCAGATAAAATTATGAAGAGAAGTCAGAAATGATCACCAGAAGAGTCTGTAGAGCAGTTACTTCCACATGAAGGGAGACACAGCAGCACAGTTTTATTTAGTGACCTGAGTGGTAGTTACGGGGGTATTCATCTTCTAATTCATTAAGTTAAACAACTGTTTTTATATGGTTTTATTTGTATTAAATTTTACCATAAAAAAATGATTATGTGAAATCTCATAAAGTATGTAAGTGTTACTCAAACAAAAAACAAACCCTTTGCCCTCGAGTTGATTTTGACTCACAGTGACCCTAGAGGACAGAGCAGAACTGCCCCATAGGGTTTCCAAGGAGTGGCTGGTGGATTTGAACTGCCAACCTTTTGGTTAGCAGCCAAACACTTAACCACTGTGCCACCAGGGCTCCAACTGTTACCCAGTGAATTAAAATAGGTAACGTGATAGTGATTAGGCCCCTCTTCGGAGTGACATTTAAGCTAAACTCTGAATGACAAAAAGCAAGCCTTGGGTAGATCAGAAGAAAATTTCAGAAAAGAAAGCAGAGGAGCAAACTGTCTAAGACGGGATGAAGTAAACTGGAGAACTAAATTAATTCCAGTGTAACTAGAGGATGGTAAGCTGGGGGAAGAAAATTTACCAGTGTCATGGATTTCTGTCTGCTCACAAAGAGCAGAACTATAAATATTACTCATAAATATTAGGTATATCCTAATTTTAAAACATAAAATATTTCAAATGTATAAAAACTTATGTGAAATGCTTCCAAATAAAGATTAACATTACTGCACACACTAAACACAAACATTTTCCTTTTCTCTATAACACATGCACATGATCTGATTGATTAAACCCACGTTAGCATACATGAAACATCCACTCCAATATCTGAGAAAAAGTTTTGTTATCTCACGAAAATAAGAAGCCACTAAGAGGCGAGCAATACTGAATGAAATCAGATAATTCTCTTTTAAAACAATTCCTTAATTGTCTCATAAGTTAAAATATACCTTACCAGCCTTACCTCCTCTAAATCCCAATCGTGGGGTGCCTCCACAAGAAATTTAGAGCAATCCAAAGAGTCAGCCTTGTGCTTACATTCTCTGTCAGGCTGGCTGATGTGAAACAAGCCTCCAATTTCTTCTCTGGGGTCACCACCATCTTCTTCATTATCCTCTGTCACTAAAGAGACCACCATGATGGAAAGTGAGAATAAATAAATAAATAATCCTCCAGAATTCATCATCTTCAAGCAGTCAGGCCAAAAGTTCAGAACTTAGGGGTCTGTGGTAGCTACGGCAATGGTCCCAAGCGAGACAGCCAGAGAGCCACGGGCAGAGAAAGGCCAGGAAACTATTGCCTGGCTTTTGCCTGGAGGACTCTTGCCCTCCTGCAAAGCAGCAACAGAGGGTTCACTGAGGAGTGAGAATATTTGGGGTATGAGGGGAGACGTTTAGAAGCAGAGCTTCAAATTTATTAGAGTTTCTCCTTAAGAGTGTGGAGTCTCTAATCATAACAACTCTCTAATCATTACAAAGCCTGAGTGAAAACTGGCAAGGAACTAGGCTACATGCACTCAAGTCCACACCAACCCTTCAAGCCAATGCTCTTAGCTCACATGTGCTCCTTGAACCTTAGGCTAACCATGTGGTAACTGGTAAGCACAATACAAAGTTCACTGCTTTATATGTTCTATTACTGATTCATGTTCTTTCCAAAAAGAACATACAGACAAGTTTAAAAAAATATAAAATCAAAGGACAAGGGCAAAAGCAAAAACAGAACGGGCTCTCATTTTTAGAAAGGAAAAGCATTTTCAAAGGCAGAAAACATTTTTCTGGCACTAAATTCTACAAAAAATTTCTCATGAAGAACTTTATGTAGGCGATACTAAGTGACATAATGGACAGTAAGTATTCTCATCACAAGTTTTATGGCACAGGGAGGCAGTGCAGGATGGTGAAGTGAATGCACACTGCCATCTACTCCCCCAGAAACTAACTCACAGAACAACGAATACAAACAAACACAGACTGAGACCTCAGAACTCCAGAAGAAGGGGAAGGGAGGAATGGGATCAGCACAGAAACTGAGAGATCACACTCACTAACATCAGGAGAGCAAGCTCACTGTGGCCGTTTTGGGATGTGACTGGGTAACATCCCAAGCAGGGAACACAGAAGGGGAGCTTACCTAAGGAAGCTCTAGCCTGATTTTTTTTTTAAGGCGGCACAAATTGGTGGTGGGAGTTCACAGGCCGTGCAAGTGGTAGGGGCGAAGGAAGACCTTAACGCTGCATGAGAGTACTGTTGAACTTTGCTGAGGCCAGGAACAAAGAGACACTAGGACCTGGAAGAGCCACAAGGGCAACAGGGTGAGGAGGAAGGTCCAGACTGAGAGGCAAGCAGGAGGCTGCCCCAGCAAGACTCCTTGGATATAGTGAGTATACCAATGAAGGGGCTCCAGTGAGGAAAAGACTGAAAAAAACCTCTTACCCTTCACCACAGTAAAGTAGATCTCTACAGCACATACCACCTGAGGCATCCAGCCGACCTCCGCTCCTCGCATGCGTACAGAATCCCAGAGACCAAGCATACAGATCTCTTACATCTACTCCTTGGGTAGGGGTCGGGTGGGGTGAGGGGAAGACCTAAAGATAAGAATGCCATCTCCTGGTTCACAGGGGAAGATACCAAACCTGCTGTCTCTGAGATTCTGTCTAACAGGGAACCTGCAGGGCTGAGGCATTAGGTAGGCCTCCTGGAGTTCCTACACGAGTGAATCTTTGAGGGAGACATCTGCCATATCTTTCTCCTGTACAGTGGCTGGGTGCAAGCCCCAGGCTTTTCACTGGCAACCGGACAATTAGATGCTCTTCCAGCAGGGCAACCAAACAGAAAAAGTTTCCACAATAAACAGAATAAAAAAATTAAAGAGAAGATAACAAAATGGCTCAAGTTCAACAAAAAATGATAAAATCACAAAAGCGAAAGAAAGGGAACGCTCAAAAGCAAAACATGAAGAGGAAATCTCTCTTATGGAGGCCAGAATAATGCAAAGAATTGATAATTTTCAGACTATGGTGCTAAAATATGTTTAAAGAAAGTAAAAAAACACACAGAAAACAAATTAATGGGGTTCAGGAAACAAATGGAATTGAGCAACAAAATGAAAGATTCAACAAGGAATTTGAACACATACCAAAAAAATAAAATAAATAAAGAGAGAACTATTGAAACAGAAGAATAAAACATCTGAATTAGAAATAACAAAATAAACACTCAACAAGAGAGTAGAACACTCAGAAGCATATCTGAATTAGTCTCACGGGAAACAAGAAAAGAGCAAAGAACAAACAAACCCAAAAAGAAATGTAGGATTCAATTAAGAAATTAACAATAGAAATACTGGAATCCCAGAACACCACAACAACAATAAAGGCATAGAAACAATTTTCCAAGAGATAATCAGGAGAATTTCCTAGATATGAGCAGAAAAACAAGCCTGCAAATACAGGAAACTACACGAACTTCAATCAGAAGAGACACCAAAAAATCAACTCCGTGACAATAAAATTATTGAAAGCCAAAGACGAGAGAATTTTGAAAGCAGCAAAAGAAAAAAGCAATTTAAAATACCAAGGTTCTTTCATAAGAATCACTACAGATTTCTCCCCAGAAACTCTAGAGGCCAGAAGACAATGGAGCGGCATATATAGAATACTAAAGCAAAAGCACTGCCAACCAAGAATACTTTACCCAGCAAAGCTGTCATTCAAAAACGAGGGGGTAATCAAGACATTCCCAAACAAACAGAAGCTCTGGGAATTTGCCACGATCAGACCAGATTTGCAAGTTTTACTCAAGAGAGTACTCCAAATGGAAAGGAAAGAACATTAACAAATAAGTACAAACTAAGCTTACCAAATATATACTAAACCTACCAAATACAGGTTATATATTGCTGTTAATGGAGACACACCAACAGAAATAGGGGAGGGAGGGGCATATCAGGAATAGCTTTATTATGCTAAGGTTGTATGTTAACAGTTGTTCATATGCTAGATGCTGTAGTAATTGTAAATCAAGCAAAATAACATATGTGGTAACCACTAAGAAATCACTAAGAAGAAACACTCAGGAGAAAAGAAGCAAGTTAAAAGGCTCATCACAAGAAAGCACCCAAATATAAACAAAAACAGAACTATTAATATAATAAACAAGATACAAAACACTAAAAAAAAAAAAGAAAAAGTAACAAGATGAGTGAAGTAGACAATTCATTTTCTCAAAATAACCTTAAATGCAAACGGTCTAAAAGCCCCATGCAAAAGACAGAGAGTGACAGAATGGATAAAAAAAAAAAAAAAAAAAAAAAACCACAATCCATTCTTTTGCTGTCTATAAGAAACCCACCTTAGACACAAGGACACAAACAGACTGAAAACAAAAAGATGGAGAAAAATATTCAATGCAATCAGTAAACAAAAAAGAGTAGGAGTGGCCATACTATTGCTAGATTGTTTTAGTTATCTAGTGCTGCTATAACAGAAATACCACAAGTGGATGGCTTTAACAAACAGAAATTTATTCTCTCACAGTCTAGGAGGCTAGAAGTCCAAATTCAGGGTGCCACCTCCTGGGGAATGCTTTCTCTCTCTGTTGGCTCCGAGGGAAGGTCCTTGTCCTCAAACTTCCCCTGGTCTAGGAGATGCTCAGTGCAGGGACCCTTTCTTGGTGGCATGAGGTACCACTCCTCTCTGCTCACTTCTCTCTTTTATATTTCAAAAGATATTGACTCAAGAAACAACATAATCCTGTAGATTGAGTCCTGCCTCATTAATATAACTGCCTCTAATCCTGTCTCATGAACATCATAGAGGTTAGGATTTACAATATATAGGATAATCATATCAGAACACAAAATGGTGGGCAAACACACAATGCTGGGAATCACAGCTTAGTCAAGTTGATACACATTTTGAAGGGACACAATTCAGTGTCTATAACACCGATAAAATACACTTTAAATCAAAATCTGTTACAAGACAAAAACTAATTCAAAATGGATCAAAGACGTAAAAATAAAACCAAAACCTATAAAGATCATATAAGAAAAAATAGGATCAACACTAAAGGCCCTAATACACGGCATTAACAGGATACAAACCATAACTAACAACACACAAACTCCAGTAGATAAGCTAGATAACTGGGATCTTCTAAAAATTAAAAACTTATGTTCATCAGAAGACTTCACCAAAAAGTAAAAAGAGAAACTACAGACTGGGAAAAAATTGGGGGCTATGACAAATCTGACAAACATGTAATCTCTAAAATCTACAGGAAAACCCAACACCTCTACAACAAAAAGACAAATAATCCAATTAAAATATAAGCAAAGGAAATGAACAGACACTTCAACAGAGAAGACATTCAAGCGGGTAACAGACACATGAGGAAATGCTTGCCATCACTAGCTGTTAGACAAATGCAAATCAAAATCACAATTAGATACCATCTCATCCCGGCATTATTGGCACAAATAAAAAAAAAAAAAGAAAATAACAAATATTGGAGAGGTTGCATGGAGGTTTGAACTCTTATGTACTGATGACGGGAATGCAAAATGGTACAATCATTTTGGAAAACGATACGGTGCTTTCTTAGAAAGCTAGAAACAGAAATACCATATGATCCAGCAATCCCACTCCTAGGAATATATCCTAGGGAAATAAGAGCTGTCACATGAATAGACATATACACACCCATGTTCACTGAGCATTGTTCACAATAGCAAAAAGAAACAACTTAGATACTCATCAATAGATGAATGCATAAACAAATTATGGTACATACACACAATGGAGTACAATGCAACAATAAAGATTAACAATCAGTTTGCAAAGCATCTCACAACATGGATGAATGTGGAGGGCATTATGCTGAATGAAATAAGCGAATCACAAAAGTGCAAACATTGTATGAGACCACTACTATAAAATCTCATGAAAAGGTTTACACACAAAAAGAAACAATCTTTGATGGTTATGAGGGATGGGAGGGGTGGGGATGGAAAAACATTAAATAGACAATAGATAAGTGATAACTTTGGTGAAGGGTAAGATAGTACACAATACTGGGGAAGCCAGCACATCTTGACCAAGGCAAAGTCATGGACGTTCCATAGACACATCCAAACTCCCTGAGGGACCAAACTGCTGGGCTGAGGGCTGTGGGGACCATGGTCTTGGGGAGCATCTAGCTCAATTGGCATAACATAGTTTATAAAGAAAATGTTCTACATTCTACTTGGTGAGTAGCATCTGGGGTCTTAAAAGCCTGTGGGCAGCCATCTAAGACACTCCACTGGTATCACCCCCTCGAAAGCAAGAAAGAAGGAAGAAAACTAAAGATACAACAGAAAGACTAGTCCAAAGGACTAATGGACCACATCTACCATGGCTTTCACCAGACTGAGTCCAGCACAACCAGATGGTGCTGGGCTACCACCATTGACTGCTCTGACAGGGACCACAAATAGAAGGTCCTGGACAGAGCTAGAGAAAAATGTAGAACAAAATTCTAACTCACAAAAAAGACCAGACTTACTGGCCTGACAGAGACTGGAGAAACCCTGAGAGTATGGCCCCCAGACACCCTTTTAGCTCAGTAATGAAGTCACTCCTGAAGTTCACCCTTTAGTCAAAGAAGAGACAGGCCTATAAAACAAAACAAGACTAAAGGGGCACAGGGGCAAGGACAAGAAGGCAGGAGGGGACAGAAAGCTGGTAATAGGGAACCCAAGGTCGAGAAGGGAGAGTGTTAACATGTCCTGGGGTTGGTAACAAATGTCATAAAACAATATGTGTATTAACTGTTTAATGAGAAGTTAATTTGTTCTGTACACATTCATCTAAAGCACAATAATTAACAAAAAATAAAAAGAAGAAAGCAAAATCAAAACATCAGCTCCACAACTCAAACAAACAGAGGACAGCGAAAGAAGCCCACAGGCACCAGAAGAAAAAAATGAAATTCGTTACAAGAGATAAAGAGGGATGTTACATAATAATAAAAGGGTCAATTCAACAAGAAGACTTAACAATTATAAATATATATGTACCTAATGGCAATGCACTATAATATATGAAACAAATTCTGACTATTATGAAAGGAGAAATTGACAATTCCACAATAATAGTAGGGGACTGCAACATACCACTTTCAATTACGGACAGAACAACTAAAAAGAAAATCACTAAAGACACTGAGAACTTAACTAAAACCATAAGCCAATTGGACCTAACAGACAGAACACTCTACCTAACATCAGAAAAAATACATATTCTTCTCCAGTGCACACGCATCATTTTTCCAGAAGAGACAATACAACTCTCAATAAATTGAAAAAGACTGAAATCATACAAAGCATCTACTTGCACCATAACCGTATGAAACTGGAAAACAACAACAGGGTAAACAAGGGGAAAAAATAATTACATGGAAGCTAAATAATACACTACTGAAAAATTACGGGGTTATACAAGAAATCAGAAGTGAAACTTAAAAATTTCTAGAATCAAACAAAAATGAAAACACAACATATTAAAACCTTTGGGACACAAAAGCAGTCCTCAGAGAAAATTTATAGCAAGAAATGCCTACGTTAAACAAGAAGATCCAAAATCACTAACTTAAACTGACAACTTGAACAAAGAGAAAAGGAGGAGCAAAAGAAGTCAAAATCAAACAGAAAAAAAAAAAAGTAATAATAATAAAAATCAGGGCAGAAATAAATGAATGAGGAAATAGAAAAACAGTTGAAAGAATTAACAAAACCAGAAGCTGGTTCTTTGAAAGGACCAACAAAATAGCCACACCACTAGCTAGACTGACAAAAGAAAAAATCCAGAAGACACAAATAACTAAATTTAAGAAATGAAATTGGTGACACAACCAATCCATCAGAGATAAAGAAGACCATAACCTATTACTATGAAAAATTATACTACAACGTATTTGAAAACCTAGAGGAAATGGACAAATTCCTAGAAACACATTACCTACCCAAATTATCACAAATAGAGGTAGAAAACTTAAACAGACCCATCACAAAAGCAGAGACTGAGATGTCATCAAAAAACTACCAACAAAAAATCCTCTAGGACCAGATAGCTACACCAGAGAATTCTATCAAACATTCAGAGTAGAGTTGACACCGAACCTACTCAATCTCTTCAAAACATAGAAGAGGAAGGAATACTACTGGACTCCCTCTATGAAGCCAGCATAACCCTGATACCAGGCAACGACATAAAAAAAATTTATGGAATAAAACTACTTCATTTAACTGATTTAACTGATTTTTGGTGTTTATGAGCTAATGATTAAAAAATCTGCCAAATATAAAATGTAACAGCCAGGAACATCTTCTAGATATATAAAGTAGCACCCAAATCCTCCAACCAATTTCCTCATCTCCTTTTCAGAAAATGATATAAGAAACTAAAATGTTTCTAGCTCTGAACCAAAACCCTTTTACCTGTCCCATAAATAAGCTTTCGAAGGTTTGGAGTTGCTTGTTGCTGCCTCAGAAAGGCCTCAGCTGCCTTCCTAGACAGGTCTTCCTTCCACTTGAGGGTACCTGAAAGGACCAATGTCAACGTCCTAGTTAAGTTTTGTATGTGCCCTCCCCTTCAAGCTCACTGTTTATTCACTTTTATGAGATGCAATACTTGAACAGTTATCAAAATCTCCAGAACAAACCCCCAAATGTAGCCATTCTATTTATAGTAACATTCTCAATGCCAAGTTGATAAAAGTAGCCAGTTCAATTTAAACGTACCTGACGTTTCTGTGGAATAGTTATTTTCTTCCTTATAATCTTCCTCCTCTTTGAATAAATCTTCTACATCACTGGTCTCACCAATTATGTTCTCTGGCCCCAGTTTCCGACCACCGCCCTCTTGAGAAGGCTTTGGAAGCTTTTTCCTAACCTCTTCATTTTCTGTGTCCTCTTCCTCTGAACTGAGAGAGGAGCTTTCTTCAGATTCATCTTCAGATGCAAATGCCTCTTCAGCTATGCAATGACCTGAATCTGAAATGGTGACAATTGCTTTTTTCATTGTCAAAGATATCTCTTGATTCAACCTGTCACTCAAACCATTAACTCCTGATAGTCGTGATTTACCACCTTCTCCAACAGCCTTAGAGTCTAAAATATCACTCTCTGCTTCTGCAGTAGAGTCCTCCTCTTCTTCACTGCTCCCACTGGCTTTCTCAGCTTCCTCTTCATCCCCTGAGCTCCTCTCAAGATCATCATCGCTATCAGCAAATACTGGCAAATCCACCTCAATATCTTCTTCCATCTCCTCAAGCTTCTGCCGTCTGATACCCTCAACAGTCATGTGCTCTTTATCAATCATTTCATTGTCTTCCTCCTCTTCTGTTTCATCAACACTAGAGCCATTTTCCAAACTGTCACCTTCAGACATTTGTGCATCATCTTCGTCATCACTATCTCCAGACTCATCTTCTTTATCTCCAAAAATGGCCTTCCGACGCACTCGACCAGTTAGCAAATCCACTTGCTTTTCCTCTTTTGGCATCTGAAGCCTATATGACACCAAGTAAACGCAAAATAACTTAATTTGTAAAATAGTCGGCTAAACCAGATATGGCAGTATAGTCAATGAAAATGCAAAGAAATAGGAAAAATGTCAAGGAATGGTATACAATGACATTGAACAGAAAGGAACGGTTTGATAAACCCAGTAAAACCTAAGTAAGGAGGAGCCTGTGTAAGGTGGAAACCTGTCAGAGAAGGAAAACTCAACCATTTTCCACTAAAACCAGTGATAGCAAAGGCAGAAAACTTGCAAGACCCAGAAAAATGAGATAGTCCCATCGAGTTCTGGCTCTCACAGGTTTCACTGTATTAGAATAGTTAATAAGCAAACTCATGCAGTTTCCCAACACCCCACTTCGAAAGAACTTACTGAGAATAAAGAGATAACTTTAAAAAAAATTAATTTTAAGAAGAAACTGCCCAAATTCTTGTTCAAAAGAGAAGTGGATGTTTAGCAGATCGTTTAGAAGACTAATTAATTTCCAAGCTTGAAACAGATGATCCTTAGAGAAACAGCTGATTCTAGGTCCAAGGCAGGGAATGTACAAGGTAAGCTTGGACAATATTGTTGTGTCAGAAAGCAAGAAAGTGCTCAAAGACTAAGAGGGATGTGCAAAGGGCCATAGGAGACAGACTGAAGGGCTCCCATGGCCAAATCTGTGACAACATAGGCATCAGAAAGAATAATGATAGTAATGGATAACATATGGAATAAAAAGAAAATCCATTCATTAACAATGATACTAAAACAAAAGAGTGAAAGTGAAGGCTCTTTTTAAAGAGAATGCTGGCTAATCAATGCAGGACTCACAGACTAAGAAAATTGTCATTTTGAAATTACCAATGCAATCAATAAATGATGCAATGATAAAGAATCACCAAGATGCTAAAACCATGGGATGAAATAAAAAACTATATGTATGAAGCTATTAATGTAATGGCATATATAAAATCATGAAATTACAAAAATACTAAAAATCTAACCATAAGAGAATGTTGGTAAGTTAAAATACTTTAATAACAATAAAATGGTGAGAGTATAAAAAGCCTAAATAGAAAAAGGATAAAGAAATAAAAATTTCCCATGCATTAAGACTGTAACCACATTGGAAAAAAGCTTTCACGCAGACAATATTGACTAGAGGAGCACTCAGTAACAAAAACAGTCAGGTAATAACAGTATGGATCATAATCATGGTGACCCTGCAGTGAACACTTTTTATCTCCCAGGCACCAGGCAAAGTAGTTTCTGCTCATTATTGCATTTCATCACCATGACTCTTATGAGATATTCAGAAATTGAGGCTTAAGGATTATTTCCCCAAACTAGTATGTTTATTGCTCTTACCTAATGTGCTATATGACCTGCTAGTCAGGGTAAGGGTAGTAGATGATATTCCCAAAATTTTTCTTCATGTTTGTATATATTTGTAATAAATTATATACCAGATAATCTTAATCATTTTTCGGACTGATTTTTACTGGGGGTCATAAATCAACACAAGCAAATGTTTAGCAAACACCCACTACGGACAAAGTATACAAATTCTCAAGCCAGACTGAAAAACAATTCACATAGTGTACGTTAGTGGAAATCTACTCGCAGGAAACACTACTACAACACACTCTAAGTAAAAATCTTAGAGGAGGGATGTGGCTCCTGGACAGCCTCTTGAACAAGCTCCTGATTCTGCCTTATTCTAGTGCTCTGGCCACCAAAAGAGCTAAGTGGCTTCAGGTTTCCTAAGAAACAAAAAGCAACCTATAGAAAAGTTTTAGTGATATTTGAGGATTATGATGCACTGGTTTTGCTAGAAAATAGCTGAGTTTTCCTTCTCTGACATTAAAAAAAGAGTCCTGAATCTTGTTTTGAGAAACCACTTAAATATATTACATACGTGAAAAGAACCCCCTGAAACACATGCACATAAAAATGAGACAAAACAGAAACGGGAATAAACTCCACCAAAATGTTACAATGACAGAATTACCGGAGCTATAATCTGTCACATCATTTTAAAATTAAAAATTAAACAATTAAAAAAGCAGACTTACCCTTGATTATCTATATCCTCTAATCCTAGTGGTTTGGAATTAGAAAAAAGTGCCACTCTACTTGAAGCCATCTTGGCATCAATAGTGGAATGGGTGGAAATGAGATTCTGGACCAGTTCATGGGTGGGCTTCACCTCATCCTGTCAAGGCAACCAAGAAAGGAAAAGTGAAGAAAGTACAAGGGATTCAATCACTTCCTCAAAATTACCTTAAACCTAATTCCTGAGAGCCTTTCTTGCTGCCTAACAAGAAAATTTTCACAACAAATACTGAAACTGATCCTCACCTTCATTAAATTATTCCTCAGTTCATGGAATAAATAACCTGTAAGTCTCAATTCTTAGCTAACTTTAGGTCCCATGCTATAGAAAGAGAATTATTAGCCCCCAAAAATCATATTTCAGAAGTCAAAGAAATAAAAATCTGGAGCCCATTTTTAAAAAAGTTTGCTACTCTTTGATTCAAAAATTTCACTTTACGGAATTTACTGCACAGTCATGTGTCACTGAATGTCCACAACATGCTCTGTGAAACAGGACACATACTAGGTGTTGTGTGAACACTTGGGTCCGCAGGGCATGGGGCTCCCGGCAGCATGGGCCGAGGGGCTGCTGTGCAGCACACAGCCTGGGCAGCTCCTGCTGCAGACGCTCAGGTGAGCACTTGGTCAGGTCCCACCCAGCACGTGGCCCTGCAGCCCTGTGAAGGTCACAGTGGGGAGGCTCTGAGCATGGGCCCAGGCAGCAGGGGAGCGGTCTCAGTGACCCAGTGCCCCCACCCCAGCCAGGCCCTATGATGCCTGCTGACCTTGGGCGCTTGGGAGCAGGATCGGGCTCCCACTCCTCCCAGTGGCAGGGGCACCTGTCCCACAGGTGGGGGTGGTGGGGCAGGCTCACTGACGAGTTGGGCTGTGGGCATCCCCCAGAGGGCACACGCCGGACCACGGATGTATATGTGGTTAGATGTTGCCTGAACAGATGTCATGCAGCGCATGACCATGCAGACAGGTACCCCAGGAGTGAGCAAAGCCTCATGCACAAGGGTGCTCACTGAGGCACTGTTCACTCCAGAGGAAACTGGAGTGAGCTCCACAGCCCTTAACAACTGGTTCAGGAAATAGGTTTTACCTACAGTTGTCAAAAAGATGAAAGCAGCTCTACCTAGCCAGAGCAATAAGGCAAGGAAAAGAAAAAAAAGGCATCCAATTGGAAAGGAAGAGGTAAAACTATCCCTATCCTCAGATAATCCAAGGAATCTACTAAAAAGCGTCTAGAACTAATAGAGAAATTTAACAAAGTTGCGCAGGATACAAGGTCAACACACAAAAATCAGTTGGGTTTCTACACACCAGCAATTTGTAGAGGAGATTAAGAAAGCAACTCCATTTATAATAGCATCTAACAGAATAAAATATCTAGGAGTAAATTTACCCAGGGATGTGAAAGACTTAAGATAATGAAAATTATAAAATAATGCTGAAAGTGACTGAAAAAAAAAAACCAAACCCGTTGCCGTCAAGTCGATTCCGACTCATATTAAATAGACGGACAGACATTCTGTGCTCATGGAAGACTTAATATAGACAAGATGTCAATACAACCCAAAGCGATTTATAGATACAATGTACTCCTGATCAAAATTCCAACAGTATTCTTCACAGAAATGGAAAAATTAATCCTCAATTCTATATGGAAAGACAAGAGACTCAAGATAGCCAAAGCAATCTGGAAGAAGAAAAACAAAGTAGCAGGCCTCACACTTCCTGACTTTAAAATATATTACACAGCTGAAGTGATCAAAACAGCCTGGTACTGGTTTAATGACAGACACACAGACAAATGGAACAGAACTGAAAATCCAGAAATAAATCCAAACATCTATGGCCAACTGATTTTCTACAAGGGTGTCAAATCCATTCATGGTGAAGGAATAGTCTCTTCAACAAATGGTGCTGGCAAAACTGGATCTCCGCGTAGAGAAAAATAAAACAAGATCCGTACCACATACCGCAGACAAAAACTAATTCAAAATGCATCAAGGACCTACATATAAAATCTAAAGCCACGAAATTCTTGGAGCAAAGCTTTGGGACCTAATTTTTTTCAATGACAGATTATCAAACACTACAACGAACACATGTGCAACAGAAAACAAAATAGATAACCAGGACCTCATAAAAGTTAAACCACTTATGTTTATCAAAAGAATAAAGACACAACCTACGGACTGGGAAAAAATCTTTGGCAATGATATAACTGATTAGGGTCTAATATCTAAACATACAGAAAACTTCTACAACTTAACAAAAAGACAAACAACCCAATCAAAAACTGGGCAAAGGACATTATGACACTTCACCCAAAAGGATATTCAAACAGCCAACAGACACAGAAAAAGATGCTCTGTGCCACTAGCCAGCAGAGAAATGCAAATCAAAACCACAATGACATACCATTTTACTCCCACTAGAATGGCCAAGATTTTAAAAAAAAGGAAAATAACAGCTGTTGAAGAGGATGCGGAGAAACTGGAACGCTTATCCATTACTGGTGGGAATGCAAAATAGGACAGCCATTGTGGAAAACACTATGGTGGTTCCTCAAAAAACTAGAAGTAGAGCTGCCAAATGGCCCAGCAATTCCACCCTTCGGGATCTAATAGAGGTGGCATGAACACACCTAGGCACACCTATGTTCATCGAAGCACTATTCACAACAGTAAGATGATGGAAACAATCTAAGTGCCCATCAACGGATGAACGGATAAGTAAAATGTGGCACATACATATAATGGGATACTACTCAGCAATAAAGAAAAATGAGTTCCCCAAACATCTTGGAACATGGATGAACCTGGAGGACATTATGTTGAGCCAAATAAGTCAATCACAAAAACACAAATATTGTATGTTCTGGCTTTTATGAAATGACATGAACAAGTAAATATATAGAAACTAATGTTCATTAGTGGTTACCAGAGACTGGGGGGCGGAGAGGATTCATTCTCCAGATAGTAGACACTTGTTATTTTTTTTGGTGATGGAAAAAGTAACACTGAATGAGGGTAAAGGGTACACAGCTTGACGAAGGTAGATAATGTCACTAAAAAGTACATAAGAAAAAAGGACCTGTTGGTAATTGCTATGGCATATACTATTTTGAAACAACAGCAAAAACAACCAAAAAATATATGTGTTGGTATATATGTATGCAATGTACGCATGAAGGTGTGTATGTGTATCGGCGCATATATATATGTGCATACGTACGTATGTATAAAAATATATAGGTATATGCATATGTATATACATCTATATGACTATATGCACATACGACCACTCCTCACTTATCAACATGGTTAGGTTCCAAAGACCAGATCATTATGTGAAAATGGCCATTATGTGAAAATGAAGGATGACCACATCAGATCACAAAATGGAGAATAACTACATCATTACATAACTGGCAAACTACATCATTACGTAACTGCCAAACCACTGAGAATCACGACCTAGCCAAGCTGACACATAACCTTAACCATCACAACCAGCATTACTCGTGCCTCGCACCCTGCACGTTGTCATAAAAAACAGATTCTAAAAGAAATGATGAGAGTTCAGAACAAAGTCTCCCCCCCTCACCGATTCCTGAAAAACATGGCTGCCACCAAGATCAACGTAGACAGCATCTTTGTCATACAACACACCACCAACGCCAGAGAAAGGTGCATAAACCAACTTCTCTTTCTCATTTAAACAGCGCTTCTTTTGCTGTTCAGGAAGAGCACAGGGGTCTGGGAGAAAACTGACATCACTCACAGCAAAATCTCCTACACCTGGAAGACAGAACACAGGAAAAAGGCTTTAACTGACAAGCGAATTAACTGTTGGTAGAAAGACTCCAAAGTCCGAAGGCTTCAAACACATGAAAAGGGGTGCCGTTCCCCATTGGGACTGTCACATCATCAAAGAAGAGTCAACTCAACATCTTTGCTGACTGATGCATAATTGGGTTACTTTTAAACCTCCAGTAAGATGGCTCTAACTTGTTTGACCACTTCTCAGTTTTCCATGAAACCACCCCTAAAGTTGTACAAATACAGTAGTTTTACAAGAGGATACCTGGGATGTGAATTTGGCTTTTATTTTTCAAGTGCGCTCCTCTTAAGTAGCCATAAAGAGACACCTTCCGATCACACTTGATATTTGTTCGAATATCTTCTGGGTTTGTCAGATCTTCCATCCTAGAGAAACAAAAACTCAATCAAGACAGAAACGAATGCTGCAAGTTCACTGTACCTCCCTCACGTGTCAGTGCTTCATCACATTCACTCATTCACTAAGCATTTATAGGAAATACAGAAGTAAGGAAGCATAGTTCATAGTCTACCAAAGGAGAAAGAGCAGGCACATGACTCTGTCTCTCTTATGGTCTGTGGGACACACGTTCCCTAAGACCCCAGAAATAGGAAACGACTTCTACCAGGAATCAGGAGTAGAGAACATACTTAGCAAAACCTTTATGGAAAAGAGTTAATCTTTGATTTGGGTTTTTTAATGTGCCTTGGATTCTGGCAGGTGGAGAAAGGGTATTCTAGGCTGAAAAAGCAATATGAATAAAAGCACAAAGGAAGGAAAGTGCAAGGCACATGTGAGTTGAAAAAGATGGGGCCCACATCTTGTAGCCTTTTAAATGCTTTAAAATCCTCATGAGAACATTTAATACTTACTTTTGAAGGCACAGCATCTTTAAGTGACGATTCAAGAAAAGTAGATACTTTCCATCAAGTACGCTTCTACCCCCACTAATCAAACAGGCACAGAATAAGCTCTATTGTTGCTCTTTTTTTTAACCTTTTTAGCTTTAGGATATATGGGCCAGGAAGAAAAAGCTTACATTCACTTTTTACCTGTCTGCCAGGATATAAGGGTGAGAGGTTTGCCATGTGAGGGGTCTAAACTTCATAACTGTAATAAAACGGCCCAGATTATGAATTTCTTGGTTTTGATATTCTCCATGTACTATTCCAGAAAGGTAGAACAGTTTGGCACCCTAAATATTAAAAAAAAAATTAAATAAATAAGTTAAATTTCAATTAAATTCTTGTCAATACTGCACCAAAATAAAGGCCCTAAGTCAGAAACAATTCTAAGTAAGGGCTCCTTCTAGCAAGACAACTGTCTCAATGCTTCCAGAGCCTACAGGGCTTCCTTTAAGACTCATCCTGTTAGGACCAATTAGTGGCTGAGCTGCAAGTTTAGTTTCATGATTGATCACCTATGTTGATAGGACAGTGGCATCTGTCTGGAATGTTGCACAGAGAAGGGCAATGAGGCTCCTGAGCACAGAAAGAATTCTGTGACCAACTGGCCACAGCAGTATGGAGGGGAGGGAGGAGTGGCAGTATGTGTGCATTATAGTTCCTAATCCTGTAACTAGGAGAAACTTCTGATGAACTCTAAGTCATGAACCCAAAATACTTACAGCCAGACACTGCCTGGCGCTGGGGGATACAGGGACAAGTAAGACACACCAAAAGGCCCAGAATAAAGACTGTCTCGAGGGAAATATTCCAGGGACTGGAACCGATATATAAAGAAAACTCAGGAGTGAATCCTGTAGAGATATTTGTTAAACTCTCCTTCACATGATGTCTATTTGAAAAGGATTATAGTATTAGTTAGTGTTCAAAAAGTATTTCTCTTCCTACCGGGTAGACTTCTGTCCAGAATCTGTGCTTTAATCGCTTCTTTGTCTTCTTCAGTTGCTTATTATACTTGAAGGAGTCCAGGTGGGTGAGAACTCCCATGATTTTAGGGAAGCCATGTACTTGACAGATGTTCAGAAATTCAAATGTTTCCATTTCAAACCCAAAGCTGGCATCTACAAGCATCAGAACCTAAAAACAGAACAATTTCTCAAGGAAGCTACCAAAACAGACCATGTAGTCCAGGGGTCAGTAAACCACAGCCTGTGGGTCCAATCTGGCCCATCACCTGTTTTCATAACCAGTTGTACTGGAACATAGCCACATTAATTCATTTACATATTGCCTATGGCTGCTTTCACACTGCAAATGCATAGTTAAGAAGTTGCAACAGAGACCATATGACTGGCAAAGCCTGAAATATTTACTATCTGGCCCTTTACAGAAAGAGTTTGCTGACTCCTGCTGTCGACTAAACCAGATGATTACTTAGGGATCACCTTGACAAAGAAAATATCATATTCTGACATGTTCTAAAAGGCAACCATAAAATGATGCCCACCAGGACATAAACTCTTCCATTTCAAGAATTCTAACATGCGAGAAGTAACTCAGAAAATGATGGGTTCTCACTTCAGGAAATCAATGTTCTTTATTAAGGTATTTTAAAGCCAAATAATAGATCTCTAACAAGGAAACCAAATAACAGGTCTGTGAGACCCCAAAAATGGGAAGTAGTAGTAATGAATTACAAAAATATTAAAGAAGCATAGAAAACCAAACATTTTTGTTTCAATCTTCTCAAAATAACGTTTTTTGCTGGGAAGTGTGTAGGAAAACTCTTTCATATTAACTTATATCAGCTTAGAAACTACTAAAAAAAAAGAAAAAAAAGCTCCCAGTTTAGAATTGAGTCAAAGGGCTGTGACATTATGGTGAATGGTAGTCTATATGAAAACATAAACAAATAAAACAAATTTTTAATGAGAAACTAATTTGCTCTGTAAACCTTCACCTAAAGAACGATAAAAAAGGGGGGAAAAAAAAGTAATCATTGACCCAGCAATCTTATCCCTAGGAATAAAAAAAACAAAAAAACAAATTTTTAAAGTTCATGACTCTTCAAGCATGCAAAATTTCAGAGCTGATTCCTGGAGACTTCTATTCTTAAGACACTAAAGACATTACTGCTCTCATCTCTCTGTAGCTAACTAAAAATTAGAACAAAAAACAGAAACAGAAAAATCCATCCTTGATTAAACTAAGGAAAAGCCATAATCCTAAACCACAAAGTATATGAAGGTGGGCTACAGAGTGTGGTGGAAGTCAGATGCCAGGAAGCAGAGCTGCCACTGCGGACCTCAGCCAGCCAGTGAGCAGCATTCTCCATTGTAACACCGGAACAATCTGAAGACAGGCGGGCTGGTTGGTGTGGACTATCCCTACATCCCATTTGACACCAGGGAGTATCAGGCAGCAAGCAACCACCTGCAGGATCAGGGACTGGCATGCAGCCCCTCAGCTGTCAATCTTCATCAATTAAAGATAAGTGAAGCCTACATTCCTCTCCGAATACACACACGTGCACACACACCCATCTGTGTATTATGTGTGTGCCTTTACTGTGAATTAGGAGGCTTCATGATAGCCCAGAGTAATCAACATAAACAGGTTAAATAAACCATGGTGTAAACTCACAATGGAATGAACTGTTAAAAACGATGTTGAGCTTATAAATACTCATTATTTACCTGCACAATGAGGTAAATAATCCAAGCGAAAAGTTAAGCACAGAACAATGTATTTTAAAATAACAAAAGGGTGTGTGTTTATACGTTCCTTACAGTACATTTGAACACTAAACCAAGTACGTTCAATCTTCTTTAAAAATCTTAAAAAGATGTACAGAAAACGTCTCTCCTAATATGAATGTGCTTTTAAAACTGGCAAGTTTTACATAAAAGAGAAATTAATGACTATCATATGCTGAACTATTTTAACCACTCCAAATACACATAGCTTAGTAAGTTTATACTATTTTGGGTTGATAAAAACACACTTACATTTACTAATGATAGCATTACATGTTCAAAATTTATAGTATTTAGTTTTCTGATATTTAAATGGAACAGCTGTAACATCTTCATTAAATTACTTTTTACTTAATATTTTAACAGACCTCCTGGGCCAAAGGATAAAATTTATAGCTCTAGGTCAACAAACAGCTCTCCAGGAAGAACTGAATTAAAAAAGCAAGGTATCTATTACCCCACACTTCCTAATCAATATGGCTTAATTTTTTTTTCTTAAAATTTTACTTTGATTTTGCTCATTTAAAAAGTAATTAATGGAATATTAGAGATAATGAAGATTATCATTTCTATAAATGCAATCGAGTTTGCACATTTGCCACATGCTGAATTCTGTGTGGATTTTCTACTTACAAATTCTAATCACTTCTCAAGAGCAATCCATGTACTCACCTTATTATAATCATTACAAACAAAAGTTCTGGCCCCATCAAGAGCAAGGTTCCCATCCTCAGACAAGTTACTTAACTACTGGGAGCCTCAATTTCATCATACCTACTTAACTCAAAGCATGATGAGTTAAATTTGTAGAGAGCTGTTAGTACAGTGCCTAGTAAGCGTGCAAGAAATGGTACTTCACGTTGGTACATATATGTATATGTTAATGAACTTTTACAAGCTATGTTCATTAAAGGCTTTCTCCATCCTGTGGTTGCTTTTAGGGTTTAGAACACACTTGACTGTGTACGTCGCTTTATCATCATCATCCTCAATTCAGACAAATCTACTGTAGTGCTGATACTCACCATTCCTTTGATAATCGTAAATCCTTCTGCCCTTCGACGTAAGATAAATAAACTGTCACACTGCAGCCTCCATCAGAAACCCAGGCTGCCCCTATGGACTTACCAAATCCGCTACTTTAGCCAGATCAATCATCATGTTAATGTCACACCCACATTCAATAATGGTAAGTCTGCGCTTTTTACCTATAAGTGAAAAAATGAAAATCTTATTTTTAAAATTTCCTGGAAAAAAACATCTATCCATTAACTCCAAAGATGATTTTTTAACTGCATTCAGTTGTTGTCAGTCACCGTCAGGTCAATTCTGACTCAAGGTGGCCCACACGTGCAGAGCAGGACTGTTCCATAGGGTTTTCAAGGCTGTGACCTTTTGGAAGCAGATCTCCAGGCCTATCTTCTGAGATGTCTCTAGGTGGGTTTGAACCGCCAACCTTTCGGCTAGTAGTCGAGGGCTTAAATGTCTGCACCACCCAGAGATCCCCAATTGCATCCAGTAAAATACTGTATGCATTTATAGGAATATGTCAACAGTTCACAGATGAAAACTGCTAAAATAAAATAAATTCCATCTTGGTTTTCTTGCTATGTTCCTCTTAATTTTAAATTAATACAGAAAGTCTACCCAGATAATACAACTGCTCAAACAGCTAAAATTCTGGCTAGAATGGGCAGACAGAAGGCTTCATGATGACAGTGACCCTCCTGTTCAGTAGTGAGTCTATGCTTTTACCTATATCAAAGTTTACTATGTTCCCACTATAATTAAAACATCCTCAAAACTAATGAAAAAGAATGTAATTATTTCTAAATTAAGGTAAAAAGAAAAAAAGGTTAAAAAGATGAGGAATGCCTTCAAGACAAATAAAGAAAACCCTCAGCCTGACTATATTATTACTATAATAAGAGACTTCAGATTTATCATTGCCATTTTAGGAACTTGTTTCACCTTCCCTCGAGCTTAAAAAGATCACCATCTCCCATAGCAGACAAAATACCATGTAAAAAAGAGGAAAAAAAAAACTCCCTCTCACATCCACAAGAACGTGGCTTCAGGAGGGCAAGCCGCTTGCCTGGCACACAGGAGGTAGTCTGTTGTTGTTAGCTGGCATCGAGTCAGCTCCAACCCACGGCGACCTTACGTGTAACAGAACAAAATGTTGCCAGGTCCTGTGCCGTCCTCTCGATCATTGGTATGTTGGCGACCTTACGTGTAACAGAACAAAATGTTCCCAGGTCCTGTGCCATCCTCTCAATCATTGGTATGTTGGTGACGTTACATGTAACAGAACAAAATGTTCCCAGGTCCTGTGCTGTCCTCATGATCATTGGTATGTTGGTGACCTTACGTGTAACAGAACGAAATATTGCCAGGTCCTGTGCCGTCCTCATGATCATTGGTATGCTGGCGACCTTACATGTAACAGAACGAAATGTTGCCAGGTCCTGTGCCGTCCTCTCGATCATTGGTATGTTGGTGACCTTACGTGTAACAGAACGAAATGTTGCCAGGT